TATAGGGTTCAGGGTGTTGGGTTCAGGGTTTAAGGTTTAGCGTTGAGGGCTTAAGGTTTAGGGTTTAGGGTTTATGTATACAGGGTTTAGGGTTTAGGGTTTAGGGCTTAGGGCTTCGGGTTTAGGGTTGGGGATCTCTCTCTGCAGGGGCCCGACGACATTCCGCACCTTTAGAAGGAGCACCTCGTGAGTCGACCTGGGTAGCTCTCTAAAGTTAGGGTTCCTTTTTAGCTCCCCTAGATAGTACGACACTCTTATTAAAGAGGACCCCAAAAGGGACCTTAATTTAGAGAACTACCCACCTTTGCTGACTCGTCATGCAAGACCCCTTTGATTCAGAGGGCTCAGGCCGTCTGGAAGCTTTCACACCCGGTTTCACCATCAACGTTAGCATGCGCAGTACCTGCCGAAGGCACTAGGCGCGATACCTCGATGCAACGTTGTCGAAAGAGATGTCGTGTGCCCCAGGTCGCAGCCGAATGCCTTGGACACACAACTTGTCATGAACACGCCAGTCTTCCCAACTCTGCGGCTGTTGCTATTGGGCTCTTGAAACCTTTGAGACGACGATAATGAACGAGACATGAACAAACCCACGCAAGATCCCGCCAGCTGTAGCCCTGAGCATAGACATGCAGAGTACGAAGCCCAATCCTGGAACAGCGGATTCCGAAACCCGAAGTCCTGGACCCTGAATCCAAGAATCCCAGCCCGAAACCTCAAAACCAACGAAACCAAGTCCTGCCCTCGCCTTCCTCTGGCACCGAAGCACTGGCCTGGACGTGGCTGGAGCGCTCGGCTCAGAGAGGTACCGCTTCTAGCACTACAATTTGACCAACGAGGACCACCACCACCACCACCACCACCACCACCACCACCACCACCACCACCACCACCACCACCACCACCACCACCACCACCACTCCTGAAGGACCACGACGATGGAGATCCCAACCGCCACTCCTACCACGAGCAGCATCAGCAGTGTCAATGGTGAGTAGAGGAGTCCCGAAAAGCGGCAGTGTGGCCGATGGATGTGGTAATAAACTGTGGTAATAGTCCTAATGCATGCAGCAGCGACGGCAACACTAGTTGTGGCAACATTAGAAGCAAGAATCGGGAAGGAGAGGCATCAGCCAGGTGACAAGGAGTCAGTGTAAGTAAGAGCAGTAGCAATACCAGTAGTCGTGATATTGGTTGCCAGCCGACAACCGCTGATCCGAGAGTCAAACAAGTAATGGCTAGTACGAGTTTTGGTACTGCAGTGAAGAAGCACTTGCCTGCAACCAGCCTCAAATCCTGAATTCCGAAGGGGTTAGGCCCCCACCCTAAACCTTAAACCCTAAACGCTAAGCCCGATATTACTTGTTGGGGGCATTTAGGGTTTCCCCAAACCATCGGCCAGAGCAGGTGCGCGATGGCGCAAACAGCACTGGTTCCCATTGGCGATGGCGAGCTTATGGAGCAGCAGCCATGTGCTTAGAACCGAGGAGCTAAGTTTAGGGTTTAGGGTTTAGGATTTAGGATAGTTTGGATATTTCCTTCGTCGGTTAGTGTTGGGGCTGAATGCTCGGATTATATGTCTAGCCTGTTTCAGGCCAAATCACAAGTATTGTGTTCCTATGGCAACATGGTATGCATTGTGCCCCTAAACCCTAAACCCTAAACCCTAAACCCTAAACCGTGTGAAATCCGACCAGCGAGCTGCCGCTCAGGATTCCTGAGCCTGTCGCGGATCAGAATTTCAACAGGACCTGCAGCCATAAACCCTACACCCTAAAGCCTAAACCCCTAAACCCTAAAACCCTAAGCCCTAAAACCCGAAACCCCAAACCCTAAACCCTAAACCCTAAGCCCTAAACAGGGTTGCAAAAGGGTTTTAGAGTCCAGGATTTAGGTTTTGGGGTTTGGGCCTAGGGCTGAGGGTTTAGGGTTCGGATCTAGGGCGCAGAGACAGTTTAGGGCTAGGATTTATGGCGCTTTAGGCGAAAGAGCTTAGTTTAGGATGTATATAGACATAGATGGTAGGGTGTATAGACATATATGGTAGGGTGTAGACTGTAGGGCATTGGGCTTGGCATTTAGGCTTAAGGTTTGGAGTCAGACACATGACTCCTTCCAATCCCAAGCCCTGGACCTTCGAGTTCGGGCTTAGAGGTTTAGGGATACTGTCACTGGGTTTAGGGTTCGGGGTTTGGGTTTAGGTTTTAGGATTTAGGGTTTGGGTTTTTGATCATTCAGATGCCAGACGGTGTAAACTGTCCGTGCTGGTAGCATCTAGCTGCGGCCGAAGGCCAATACTCAATACGAGGGTCCGAATAATGAGATAAAGTGCCCCATCGCCGATATAGTTGCATTAAAGGATACCCGAGACTCCAGTTTTACATGTTACTGCGCCTGTATTGGTCCCGATGTTCGAAGGAGAAAGATGTTCGAGTTGCAGCAAGAGCTGTCCACGCTGCAGAAACGCTCGTTGAAGCAGCATGAGGCGCCAGACCGGATTCAGAGGATTGTCAATGGCTTGGGCTCTTTTGGGGTGTCATTCATTTTTTTCCCTAAGCCCTAAACCCTAAACCCTAAACCCTAAACCCTAAACCCTAAACCCTAAACCGATTCTTGTTCGATTCCCGACTCCCAGGGTACGGGAGTCTCTGAACTACGGAACACAACTTTAAACCTTGCACCACGCAACCTCGAAAGCCGTGTATGCCCCACAAAGCCCGAAAACTGCCTAAAGCCCTAAAGCCCTAAACCCCAGACCCGACACTCCAAAGCCCAAGCCCTAAACCCTAAACCCTAAAGACCTAAAGCCCCCAACCCTAAAGCCCTAAAGCCCCAAAGCCGTAAAGCCCGAAACCCCAAACCCCAAAGCCCTAAAGCCGAAACCCTAAACCCAAAACCTAAAAGCCCGAAACCCCAAACCCCAAAGCCCTGAAGCCCCAAAGCCCTAAAGCCCGAAACCCTAAACCCTAAAGCCCTAAAGCTCCAAAGCACCGAAACCCTAAACCCCAAACCTAAAAGCCCTCAAGCCCTAAAGCCCGAAACCCTACAGCCCCAAAGCCCTAAAGCCCTAAAGCCCTGAAGCCCCAAAGCCCCAAAGCCCTAAAGCCCTAAAGTCCGAAACCCTAAAGCCCTCAAGCCCTAAAGCCCGAAACCCTACAGCCCCAAAGCCCTGAAGCCCTAAAGCCCTGAAGTCCGAAACCCTACTTGGAGGACCATGGGACTTAGTAAGTAAGGTTATAAGTCCCCTAATTGGGGTTGTAAGTATACTTACCTTAGTTATAACCTTACTTACTAAGTCCAATGATCTCTAAACCCTAAACCCTAAACCCTACTTACTAAGTCCCACGATCCCTAAACCCTAAACCCTAAACCCTACTTACTAAGCCCCACGATCCCTAAACCCTAAACCCTAAACCCTACTTACTAAGTCCCACGATCCCTAAACCCTAAACCCTAAACCCTACTTACTAAGTCCAATGATCCTTTAAGTAAAGCCCAGAGAGTCTCTGTGCAGGCGGTCATCCACCTGGAAACTGGCCTAAAGACCATGATCTCCGAGGCGTTCCGAAACCCTAAAGCCTAAACCTTAAATCCTAAACCCTATACATCCTCAACCCTAAATCCTAAACCCTAAACCCTATGAATCCTAAACCCTAATTCCTAAACCCTAAACCCTTTAAATCCTAAACCCTAAATCCTAAACCCTAAACCTGCAACC